TATGTCACTTTACCGTGAGAGATAAAAAAAATAAGAGAGTGGCGGCTGTTGTGGTGTTGTTGCATCAAAAGGGAAAAGTTGGCTGGCAGTGGTATTTTGTTGTCGGAGGAAGAAAAGCGAACTTGATTTGTAGAGCGTTGAGGTTAGTGAGGTTTTTTATTCTGTATTCCTAAGTAACTATTGTCGTAGTGCTTAGAAACTAATTGACTGTTGTGGCATCTAGAGAGAGTTTTGTAGAGCATTTGTGAGGTCYATTGTATTTATCCCAAAATTATAGCAGAACCCGTTGTTGCGGAAGACTGGACGTAGCCCATAATTGAGGTGAACCAGTATAAATTGCTTGTGTCGTTTTACGTGCTTTTCCCTCTATTTTCATATTGTGATTGTGTTTAGATATTTTTTGTGGGAGGAAAAATTATACAGGATAGTTAATTTCCCAACCGATAGAAATTAGATTCTATTTCGACCAAACCAAATTTTTGTTGGTTAAGGTTATTCTTAAAAATAATTTAAAGAGAAACGGTGGAAAAAAAGGGAATAATTTAAGAAAAAAGTGGATTTAAAAAATAAAGTGATTTGCGCGCCAGGTTGTCTTCAACCTCCGTAGCTGGAGCAAGGTGAGCAGAAATCGTGGCGAACGGTCACGATTTCAGTTATCGACTGGACACAATTCTGAGCACAATCGCGTCGCGTCCATTCAATGTGATTTAACCAAAACCTTGGCCAATGACCGTGACTACACCGACTTATTTTTTAAATTAGTTTTTTTAGTACATTATTTGTGTAATATTTTTTTAAAAACACATTATTTTTTTAAAAACTCCCTTTGGTGACATAGTTTCTATATGCTATAACATTTGGGTGTGGGTAATTGAGCTTACACTTTTTTGGTTGGAGATATATGTTAATTACCGTTGAGCTATACTTGCTTTGACAGTATATGGTTTCTATTTGTCTTAAATTTGTTTGTGTAATTTTCAAAATGTTTATATAATTGCTAACATGAGCATAGCTCAATGGTAATTGGTATATATTAATCCATTCGAGGTCGGAAGTTCAATCTCTCATATTCTCAAATTGTTGTACTAAAAAAATGTTTACGTACTCATAAATAGAGCTTGGGGATAAAAAAAAAAGTGCTTTTTTGAGGTATGAATCTCTGAATTATGCTCGACAATAATACAGGGCTTCTTTAGTAACTTTTTTTGTTTATTATTCCTTGTTTTCTCTTTTTAATAAATAAAAATATTGTTTTTTGTTTTTTTATTGAAAAGAGAAAAAAAACATGTTTGGTATTATTATTGTTTCTTATTCCCTAAAATTTAAAAAAATAAAAATTTGATATGAAATTAAAACTTTTAAATTAATATTAATATATTTTATTTTATATTTATTTTTTAAATAAAATTGGAAACGAAAACAAGAAATAAGAAAATTTTTAAAATTTTATACATAATTTTGAAAATGTCACTTAAAAATAAGAAAAAAAATATCGAACATTTATGTTTCTCAAAATCGATAGAAACATTACCAAACGAGAATAAGACTTTAAGATCCCACCAGAAACCAGATAAAAGCTTGTGTAAAAATTTTGCACCCAATGATTAAGAAGTCAAACCAACAGGGAGATATCTTGGACTCAACCAAAACATTTTTCTCAACGAAAGAGTTTACCTTATAAACCTTTTTTCCAATGGTTAAATATTTTTGCTTTGTCTTGAATGACAACATTATCCTTGATGATTAAAATCAAATGACAAAATAGAAAGATAAAGTTCCTCCTATCTTGTACTTTAGTGTTTGTTGTAATGTAACCATCCTTGTTGTTGTTGTTATTATTATTATTATTTTAAGAATAGACTCATTATGATTTATACAATAGCTTATAAACCTGAAAATTAAATATCGTGGGCACGGATATATTTTATTTTCTTCAAGGATTTAGTTCATTTCAATTCTTCAGCATTGCGTCTAACTATTTCTAACTTGTGATATTTTGATTACATGATTAATAGCGTGAATAGGATAGATAAGATTTTTTTCAAGGGTGAGAGTTTCCCAATTTTGAGCGAATTCAATTTTTTTTTTCTACTTTTGCAAACAACATTAAAGAAATGAAAAACTTCAATCTGATCATTTTGTGATAAGTAATCGGATCTTGAAAGAAAATTTATTGATTGTGAACCTCTCCTTTCTTTTTCTTTGTTCCCCTTTCTCGATTCCTTGTTCTTTCAAGTTTTTAGATTTGGAATATCATAACACTAAGCAATTCCAGATAATCAAAATTACAATTATATAACAACATAGTGCAGCAACTACAAACACATATCCTATGAAATCATCGTTAGTTTGATCTCAAACATCGATACAAAGTACCAAGTCTATTTAATTAAAACCATATGATATATCCTACTCTCGAGTCTCAATTCTTAATTTTTTTTTTCCAAGACACATTTGATAACTACTTAATTTTTAAAAATTATATTTGTTTACTCCCAATTTATTTGATATATTTTCATCAAAACACATTTGAATGAAATTTCAAAAATAAAAGCAATTTTTTGAAAACCACTTTTTTTAGTTTTGAATATGTCATTTCTATTGACAGAGGAGAAATTGTTGCAGTAAATAGAAATGACAGAGTCTTCTTAACAAAAACTTAACACAAAGACGAAAATAAAATTTATTTTCCAATAAAAGAAAGAAAGAAATACAACTGGAGAAAGCGACAAAGCAGTTCAGACACCACGTGGTCCCTTCAGAGACACCAAATTTGAACCTAAACATCAATATTTGTTTTTGTTTTTTGTTTGTAAAATATCGCAACATATGTCCGAATCAGACAAATTATAACCATTTAAAGTTATCTATAATTTAATGATACCATAGTTTTGTCACTTTCACACTCTTAAAAGCCAAAATTCAAACTCATACCACCAGGCCAGAACAACATACTTAAACATGGTCGGAATACATTTTTGTTTTAGTTTAAATCATTCAAAATTCAAATTGGATCTCTCCTCAATTTAATGCATTTCAGATTACTGTGTGGTTTGGTTTGAAGAACAAGATAAACTCTTGAGCTGAGTTGACAAATTTAATCTTACTGAGTGATCTCTTACATAAATTAAATACAGACATGGAATCCATGTCGCTGCTGTTTCTAAATCCTAGGTGACAGCAAAGTTTACAAAAACCAAATGTGTGATAGCTTGATCTTCCTAAGAAGTTCAAAAGACAGACAAATGGGAATAGGTTTTGTGGGACTGTTGCAACTTTACATTTCAAAATACAACATCTTCTCTTTTTCTGCGGTTTCTTGTTTCTGTTTCAGTTTCAGTTACTTCTGTTCAGGTCTTTGCTTGGTATGTCACGAGTTGCCGTGGCAACGTCCACGCTACTGCTAACTGATGTAATTAGCGCAGCCAGGCCACTGCTGGGGCTGCCACTAGCTGCCATCCCCAATCCGAGGAAATCGAGGGTGGTATGTTTTGGAGCAAACATGGAACGGTTTCCCCTCATTAGTTCCTTCAATCCCGAGTTTCCATCACAGGGAAGTCCTAGCCCAAGCCCTGCAGCGATCGAGATGCCATCTGGTTCTACTTGCCTGTGCTGGTTCCATGGCGAGCTCTCTTGCTGGGCAGTTACAGAGGAAGATGATACTAAGCCCAAACCGCGAAGCAGTGAGGCATTTGATGCTGCTGAGCCCATTTGGGCAGCCTTTTGCAGCAATGCTGTGGCGGATATTGCAGGCTGCGGTGTCGGTGTGAACCGTCGGAGGTCTTGGCTGGTAGTTCCAAACATTGGTGGCCCTTGATTCATTGCAAGACATAGAGAAATCGGTTCGATGCTTGGAGATGGTGCATGTTCGGACGAGCGATCTGAGCAAGCCATGGCTTGCATTAGGTCTGTAAATGCAGGGCGGTGTCTTGGAGGTTGAAAGCTTATCGACGTAGATGAGGAAGAAAATAAACCAGCAAATCCGCCACTTATCGTGCTGCTATTGCTACTCGAGCTCTTACTACTGCTGCCGATCCCGCTTATACCCGTTGTAGCCGGTGCTTCTTCGATACATTGTGGGGGATTCTCCAGCAACTCTGTTGAGAAAAATAAGAATCTTCTCAAGAAAAAGACAGGAGTAAAGAATGGGCAAACAGAAAAGGTTCACATAGCCACAGAGAGATAGACATCTGGGAATTCTGTAAAAGAAAACGAAAAGGAGGAATCCTCAATCATTTTATTTACTATAAAAGCCCTTTCCAAATCCTCTTTTAGCTTTTGTAGCACTTGTGGGATCTCTTTAACAAAAGTCCTGAATCTCACAGGTTTTGAGTAACCATTCCAAAACCAAAAAAAAAGAAAAGAAAAAGATGTCCATTTTAAAATACTTCCTCAAATCTCTTGCAGATCATCACATCACCTCCACTGTTCTGGTTTTCACCCAGATGGAAACAAAGAACAGTAACAGACAAAAACAAACAACAGACAACAAAGTTCTGATTTTGGTTTTCGTTTTGTTGTTTCACAAAGACCAAAAACCATACACGACAAAGAGAATAAGGCCAAGAGGTTGACTTTACCTTGACTTGGAACAGGCAACACACTTGTTGTTAGCTCGCAACTTGACTGTGGAGGAGATGTAGCCGGCGGTGATGGCGGTGGCGGTGGAGAAGGCTCCGGATTCGGTCTCGCCACCACCGTTTTAGCAGCTTTCGAGCCGGAATCTAAATCCGATTTGTCCACCGTCTGAGGCTGAGCTTTTGCCCTTTCCCCCGCCAACGCATCACAGAAAGCTCTATGCGTGATGAAGCTATCCCTCCTTCAAAAAGGTTTAGAAAAAACCCCTCAAAATCCCCCAAAAAGAAACACAATATAATACAGAGGAAAATGAAGAACAGGGTGAGAAAGGTAAACAATCAGAATTCTATGAACCTAGAAAACAGAGTTCCACAATCGCATTTGTACTCTCTGGTACCACAAATTTTGGAATGGGCTTTCCAATCAGACTGAACGGCGTATTTCTTCGAACACTTATCGCATTCCCACTTCTTCTCGCCGTGCTTTCTGCAGAAATGTTTCTTAATTCCGGTCAGATCACCCAGAGCTCTGGAGGGGTCGTGATGAACACACGACGGCTCAGGGCAGACATACACCTTTTTCTTCACCTCATTACTGGACCTCTGCCGGAGTTTCCACGGAAGATTGTGGCCTCGCCGGTGAAGCTGCAGATTCTGATCCCTCTGAAACCCTTTGTTGCAAATCTCGCAAACGAATCGATTTGTGGCCAATAAAGTCTTCGGGGACAGAGCAATCACTTCCGCTTCCGGATCTGTGCAACCAAGATAAGATCAATTTCAATTTTAATCGTCGAAAAAAGCTTAAAAAACTAAAACAAAGTTGAAAATGGGTATTGAAATTACCGGGCATTCCGGGTAGGTTTCGCTTTTTCTTAGTGGAAGATTTCGCCTCAGGGGAAGAGGAATCATCTACTTCTACATCAGCCGGCATCGCTTCGCGGAAATTTTTCCCAAATCCGAATTACAATTCGATAATCTAAAGGAAAAGAGGGAAAATCCAGAAAATCCGAAGGGTTTTACTTTTTTCCCCCGATTCAATCTCTCTCTCTCTATCGGTCAAATAGCTTTATTTTCCCATCTCCGACCAAAATCCCACATTACCCAAAAACACTGCGATTACGAAACTTGACGAAACCCTTCCGAATCCAAAGGGTTATCGATGAACACAGCCACCGGAAAATTAATCGCCGGGGGTTGAACTGTCACCGGACTGTATGCTTCCTACAGAAGTAGAGAGCTGTTCGGAAGTGGATTAAATTTCTGGTGATTGCTGGAACAGCTGTTTAACAATCCGAGACTGGTTCGAAACAATCTGTGGAGGCGATGAAGAGGGATTTGATTCCAGAGAGAGAGAAAGAGTTGTGTGAATCGGCTTCGAGTCTGTGGAGACGACGTGTTTGGGTTTCGAAAGATGTAAAGGAAAAAGGAAGAGATGCTGAATTTGGTGTGGAGGAGTTGAAATGCGACTTTTTTGTCAAAGTTTTCAACTTTCCTTTTGTTTTTTCTGTTCCTTTTTTTCGTAGTTTTGCCAAATTCGATGTCGTCGGACGAGGAGCTCCATGTCCCGAATTCAGCAAACTGTGTAACTGCAATCAATTCTATGTTTCTTGATGATTATTATTATTTTTAGTTTATTCTCGAATTTCTTTAAAACGATTTCTACTTTTGTTTTTTTGAATTTTGAATTGGTTTGGTTATGAAACATTTGTGACTTGACTTGTTCCTTTCGGATGCTGCACCCACTAACACGTGCAGTGTATGTAAAAATGTTTGTTTTATTTTACTGTGCAGAAAAGGTAAAAAATAGTTAATGAATTTTATTAAATGTCAACTATTAAAATATTAAAAAACTATCCTTTTACTCCTTAAATTTAGAGTAGGTTGTAAATAATAATAATAATAAATAAATTCAGAGCAGCGGTCAATTTGGTTACTAAAACTTTTTGATGAACATTTTCGTTCGTGAAGTTTGATAAATAATTCTAGATGATGATGAACTATTTTGAAAGTTAGTTGTCTAAAATTAAAATAATATGTGGGAATTAAGTTGTTAGTTGTACTTAATTCACTGGGCAAAATATATTAATTCAACATTATTTTGTGGTGATTAGATTTTATTCTTCCCTCCCTTCTTTCCCTTCTCTTCCTCCTACCAACTTCTTGTTGTTGCTCTATTGTCAAAACATTCCTCGTCGGATTTGGAACTTCCAAAATTGAGGAAAGTTAGACGAGGAATGTTTGTTGGATATGGAGGAACAAGCTCCTCATCTTTACGATTATGATGTCAACTGCAGATAGCTATTGCGAGGGGAGAGATAACGGTGAAAAGAGGGAGAGGTTATCAAAGTAGCAAAATCAATATCATTTTAATGTTAGTCAGCTAATAGTAAAATGAATTCAAATACATTTAAAAATATTTTTCAAATTTGAGGAATTACAATAATCATGTTTTAATTTTAGGGACTAGATTAAAACTTCAAACAACCTACCCCATATTTGAGAGTTCAAAATATATTTTGTCGGAACAAATCACTATAATAATTATAATTTCATCTCAATTCACATTTCATATGTTTATTTTGCAAGAGAGAGAAAAAAAGGAACGGCGAGGTGAATGCTTAAATGCTATGACAGTTGAAGTGCAATTTGGTGGACAAAATGATACCTCTTATTTATAAGATAGATGATTCATCTATTTTTTTCGTCATTGTTGTACTAAAAAAAATTAAAAATCATGTAACACAAAAATCAACGATTTTGAAAATCTTTATAATTGTTGAACTAAAAAAAATTAAAAATCATGTAACATAACAATAAAGCATAACATTCTTTTGGTCCACAAACACATTAAAAGTCATACTTTTCTTAAACATGAGTTAAATTACAAATTTCTGTCTTTGATTTTTTGAAAATGAGAAGTTGAATTTTTCTACTCCTTTTTTTTTTCCTGGATAGAAACTTTTAAGTCTTTGAACTTTCGATTTAAAGATCTATCAGGAAAAAAAAAAGTGAAAATTCATGATTATACTGTCACTTTTTTTTAGTTTAAAATTTATTTAAATATTAGATACTTATTAAATATTTTTTAGAAGTCCTCAACACGTGAAACATATTTCTAAAAAGTTTACCAGATAAAACTTATAATTTAGTTTAATCAAGTGATGGGGCACTCCAAATAAAACAAAGTGACCAACCACATAACTCTTTCTCCACATTTCTCTCTCTCTATATAAACACACGTTTGCAATCTATGGATAAATACACAAATCCACTTCACCTATGTAAAACTTTTTTTAGCACAACGTATAGATATTCGAACTCACTGTCTTTTGATCGAAAATAGGTATCTTAATCAGTTGGTCTACATTTATGTTGCACACTTAATCCATGCGAGTGAAATGATATGAATATTTTAAGTAATTTTAGATCAATTGACTGGTTCATCCATTTACATATGTAAAAAACTTCATTACACTTCAGCAATATTTGTACGTGGTAAAAAATAAATCATAAAAAATTTAAACTACTGTGATTAAGTTGTTTTATAAAAAAAATGATTACACACTCAAGTCATTCATTAAATCGTTACATACCAATGCTTATAAATTAAATTGTAACTCCAATGAAAGAACAAAAACTATAAAAACCATACCAAAGCGAGCATAGCTCAGTAGTAATTGGTATATACCTCGAACCACAAGGTTACGAGTTCGAATCCCCTTCCCAACATGTTGTACTAAAAATAGGATTTTCAGGAGAATTATACTAACAAATCTTAAAAAAATTATATTCATTAAATAATAAAATAAAAAGCCCAGATGAAGGCTTCCGGCCCATCAAATAAGATAAAAAACAAAGAAAAAACATTAAAAGAAAAGAGAGATGAGAAGGAGAGAGTCTATTCGACCATCAAAATATTATTAAATTAATATATATATATATATATATATATATGTTTTTTTCAAATTATCAAAATACAGTCACCAATTTAACTATCATCTATGTTTTGAAACTTCAAGGAATAAATAAATAACTATATAAACTTCATTGACAAAAATATATTTTTTTCGAAAAAAAAAAGAGAAATAGTACTATTTAATAGATCATTTTGATAAATAGTCAGAAAGTTGTATATATTGTAAATATGGTCATTGACATATGAGTGGGATATTGGAATATTTTATGATGAAAAAAAACACTAAACAGAATGTAAGATAGTTCCATGCCATCATATAATTCAAAAGTAGATAGTCAACTAAATCAAGCAAAATAAAAGAGGTTAAAAACGAGCTAAAAGCAGAGATTAAAAACGGAGTTAAATAATACAAACAAAAAGAACTAAAAAAAAGGTGGACACCAGCAAATTGAGTGTATAGAAAGGTATTATAGAAAAAAAAAATGGAAAAAGGAAAGAAAACCATAATTTCCCAAAATAAATGGAAAGCCCAAACGGCTTGGACTCAGTCAGCTTCCACGCGTCCAAGGACCATCCCACGTGTCCCCTGAAACGCCACGTAGCCTCACTGGCTTCTCCACAACTCATCGCCATCGCCTCTGTTAAAAGCAAAACCAGAACCTCCAATCTTCTTCCCCTACATCTAAAATGAAGAAGGAATCGCCATTTTCATCTTCCTCTCTCATCCCCATCTTCTTCCTTCTTCTCGCTCTGCCTTCGAGCGCTTCACGCAACGACGGATGGCTGGAAGGTGCCGAGCCTGCCGTGAAGAGAGCCAACGAGAGAAAATCACTTCTCAAAACAGAGTTCGGCGAGATCTCCGCGGTTAATTTCAACGATGGCTCTCGATTCGGACCATACCATCTTCAGTTCATTACATTGGAACCCAACTCCCTGTTTCTCCCTGTTCTTCTTCATTCGGACATGGTTTTCTATGTCCACACGGGTATGCCTTGTTTCTGTTTCCATCTAAGCCATGATTGAACTTGTAGCGGCTTCACTCGAAAACTAACCTTTTATTGTAGGGAGTGGGAGATTGAATTGGTTAGAAGATGGGAATTTGAGGACGGTGGATTTACGGCGGGGAGTTGTTTTTAGGCTTCAGCCAGGCTCCATTTTTTACTTGCAGAGCAGCTTAGAGGCCGAACGTGAGAAGCTTCGAATTTATGCTCTGTTTTCCAGCACTGATGAAGATCGTTATGTATGTATAAACTTATAACCTTAATTGAAGTTTTGTAAATTAAATACCATGTTTAATTGTGGGTTGGGGGTTAATTTGATGCAGGACCCCACCATCGGAGCCTACTCCAGCATCACTGATCTGGTTCGTGGCTTTGATAAGAAAATCCTCCAAGAATCTTTCAAGGTACGAGCCAAACTATTTCACCGGAAATGAAAATTTCAAATTGGAGTAGTCTATGAACTGTTTGTGATAATGTCTCAAAAGGCTCCTGAGGAAGTAATAGAGGAAATGATGAACACAACGAAGCCACCGCTGATCGTGCACGCTGTAACGACGCAGAGCAAGAAGCCGACGTCGATGTCGTGGGAGTTGGAAGCTCGATTCTTGAAAGCCTTTATGGGAGGTGCAGGTGCTGGTGGGATGGCACTCAACAAGGATAAGAGTAAGCAGCATGTGTACAACATTTATGAACAGCGGCCAGATTTCAAGAACTGCAATGGCCGGAGTCTGACCGTTACTAAGAAAAAATACCATCAGTTGAAGGGCTCCAACGTGGGCCTTTTCTACGTCGAACTTGTATCGGTAAGAAGAGATTATTATTCAGTTTTCAGAGACCACAAAACAACGGAATTCATTGGAATTTATGTTAATTCTGTTTTCTTTATACAGGGCTCGATGATGGGTCCACATTGGAATCCAAGTGCCTGGGAGATAGGGATCGGGGTATCAGAGGAGCCGGGAATAGTTCGGGTGGGCTGTTCGAGCATTGGGGGGAGTTCAAAAAGGAGTTCAAAGTGCAAAAACTGGAGGTTTATGGTTGGTAAAGGCGATGCTTTTGTGGCGCCCAAGTTTCATCCAATGGTGCAAATGTCTTTCAATAATGGCTCTTTTGTTTTCATCGGTTTTAGCACGACGACGAGATCGAACCATCCACAGTTTATGGCTGGACGAAGCTCGGTGTTGCAGGATTTGGACAGGAAAGTGTTGGCTTCGTCGTTTGATGTGAATGAGACCACAATTGATCGGTTGTTGGCCGCACAGGTTGATTCAGTTATCTTGGAGTGCAACTTTTGTGCAGAGGAAGAGAAGAGGTTAATGGAGGAGGAAGCTAAGAAGGAGAGGGAGGAGGAGGAGGAAGCTAGAAAGAGAGAGGAGGAAGAGAGGAGGAAGAGAGAGGAGGAAGAAAGGAAGAGGAGGGAGGAAGAGGAAGCAGCTAGAAAGAGAGAGGAGGAGGATATAAGAAAGAGGGAGGAAGAGAGGAAGAGGAAGGAGGAGGAAGAGGCGGCAGCGAGAAGGGAGGAGGAGGAAGCTAAAAAGAGGGAGGAGGAGGAAGATATGAGAAAGAGGGAGGAGGAAGAGAGGAAGAGGAAGGAGGAAGAGGAGGCGGCAGCGAGAAGGGAGGAGGAGGAAGCTAAAAAGAGGGAGGAGGAGGAAGATATGAGAAAGAGGGAGGAAGAAGAGAGGAGGAGGAAGGAGGAGGAAGAGGCGGCGGCGAGAGGCGAGGAGGAAGAAGCTAGAAAGAGGGAGGAGGAGGAGGATACAAGAAAGAGGGAGGAAGAGAGGAAGAGGAGAGAGGAGGAGGAGGCAGCCGGAAGAGAAGCTGAGAGGAAGAGGATGGAAGAGGAGGAGGCGGCGGTCAGAAGAGAAGCTGAGAGGAAGAGGATGGAGGAGGAGGAAGAGAGGAAGAGGATGGAAGAGGAGGGAGCTGGGAAAGGAGGGAGGGAGGAGGAAGAGGCAGCGGCAGAGGAAGCCAGGAGAGAAGCTGAGAAGAAGAGGGAGGAGGAGAAAGCAGGAAAAAGAGAGGAAGAAGAAGAATGGGGGGAAGGAAAAACGATAACAGAAGGGAGGAAGACAGCAGTGGAGGAGGAAGAGGAAGTCCATCATCAAACACAACAGAGAAGGAAGAGACAGAAAGACAAGAAAGAGGAAGAAAGGAAGAAGAAGAATTGGGATTGGGAGGAAGCAGAAGAAGAGGGGAGAGTAATAAGAATTTTGGGACAGTGGACGTAATTGAAGTTTTTTTCAATGCCAAAGTTCCAAGGAATAAAACAAACAAATGTAAAATATAAAGATGCAAAATGACACATTTCACATTTGTGTGTTCTGGTTTTGAGATTGTGTTTGAGAGTTTCCATTTATGTTCTAAAGTTTTGTCGTGTAATAAAGGCCTCTCTGATGAACTTTAAAAAGTAGTTTTTTTTTTATTTTTTTTATTTCGAAACTTGAAGCAGATTTTGAAGTTTTTCGAAAATTTTAAAAGAATAAGGTGCAGTGAAGTAATTTAATATAATATATTTTTTTTAATAAAACAATCGTTATTTAATTAGTTCTGTTCCTTTTAAAACTTCATAAATTAATTGCAAATATGAGTGAATTCAGGTTTTTGGGGTGGAAGAATTTAAAAGAAATAAGGTGTGGTGAATCTCTCCTACTCCTTTAAGTTATAATAAATATACGTTCTTGTTAAGAGATTTATTTTATTTTTTTTTGGAAGAATTTTAATATTTTATTCTTATTTATTATTATTTTTTTTAAGGTTGTGACAGCTAAAAAACATTAAAATTTAAAATTTATGAGTTGGATCCCACCCTCATGGTACTAAAAAAAATTACTTTTAAATAGTTTTCTATTTGTAATGAGCTAGCGGCAAAAATATTTTAAAATATTATTGTGTCGTTAACAATTTTTATTTTTGTTTTTCTAATTATTATTAACCAATAAACACTTAGATGTTACAACGTGGAGTTGAATAATAGTATGTCAAGTGAATGAGTGTATTTCTTTTACTGATCAATTACAAGTTATATTTCTTTTGTTAAAAAAAATCAGCCATACCTCTCAAAATTTTTAATTAATTATAAATAGTAAATTATTTAATTATCAATAATAATTTGTATGAAATATAAAAATTATGTCATTTCATTTCCAATAATATAGTAAAGGATTTTCCTTTCGTACATATAATCATAATATGAAATTAAATTAGTAAAATAATTTTATATTTATTAAAGTTGAAAAGTTCAATATTAGCTCGAAAATCTTTAAAATTTTTAATAAATAAACTAAGTACTTAAAAAAAAAACAATGCCCAAATAACTTTTTCAAAATGAAAATATGAAAGTCGTTATATATTTAGTTGAAGGTTGAAATAATGCAATTTAAATGCACCTCTATAAATTAATAAATTGAATGTGAAAAGCTAGAGTAAAAAGGGTTTGCCTCTCTATGTACATACATAAATTAATTCTATCATTAAATATTTTTATATAAATAGATTTAATTACAGAATAGAAAAATTTTGAGATGTCAAAATCTTGATACATTTGCATCTTTCATTCATTTCTACAATAATTTGAAAATTATATTTTAAGAAAAATAGATAGAAATTATATCAGGATTGATTTGATTCATATCTAGTTGTGATTACTATCCTTATTAATTTGATACGTTTTTACTTGTAGCTTATTTAATAATAACAATAATATCATTAATCTCATATATTTTGATGATTATATTAATTATAAGTAATAATATAAGGTACTTACGAATTCTAAGTAATTAGAATTTAGATTTTATGTAATGTATGATGGATGACATCCATTAATTTAAAATGAATGGTCAAATAGAACAAATTTAATAAATTAATTAACTAAAATTACACTATACTATTTCAATGTAAAATCAAAAGCATTAACCTTTGACTTATATTATATTCTCATACATCCTAATATCTCTGGGTTTCAAACATCAATAAACTACAAACATCCAATCAATCCCTAAATAAACGATCCTGGAAATTGAAAATGTATCCAAAAAATCGAATCGACTGATCAAATCGAGATCGATCGATCAGTTTTAATAGACATTCGATCGAGGATAGGTCGGTCGGCACCACCAATAAATCTCTAAAAACCAATCAACCCGACAAAGATATACTAATATATAAAAGAAAAGATTTATCTAATAAATAAATATTAACAGATCTTTACTTCAGCCCCGTTTTTTTCCCTCGTGTCAGTGCACCGCCACAACGCTTGCCCCTCTTCATTCTTCTTCCAACTTATTTCTCTTCTCGTCTTCTTTTCTTCATCCTTTCTCTTCGGTGCGCAGCGACAAGCATAGTCTCTCAATTTATTCTTTTGAGTTCAACCGGCCCAAAAAAACAAATGGAAACCGACGAAATCTATCGGTTATCGGTGGACTTTGACATGTTTATAAAAGTATATTATAGACTATTGTTAGGTCCTTAAAAAATATATATATTTTAAAAATTTTCTACCTTTTGAAATATAGAATTCGAAAACAGTTTTTGAAAACCACCTTCCCAGGATCCAAATTCTCTGCTGGAGAAAATTAGAAATAATAAAAAAGAAAGGAGATTGTTGCCAAACAACCTCAGTAACATTTCAAGATTCAAATTCTCCTAGTATAGTTTAAAAGGTGTTCAATGGATGAGCACTGGATCTGTGTGTTAAAAATTTGCATGCCCAGGAAGGGGAGAGAAGAGAAGAACGTGAAAAACAAGAGAAAAGCGGGCAAAGAAAGAAAGACAGCAAACATTGAAAAAGTGGGAAATCCTACAACTGGAGAAAGCGACAAAACCCTACACAACCCATGTGGTCCTTCATTTCCCCACAGCTCTCTCTTTCTTTCTTTCTTTATCCATCCTTTTTCCACTGTTCCATTATTTGTTCAACGCGTACAAATCCATCAAATACCAAAAATTGCATAAACCAATACCCTGATTTCTGCATTTTATAATACTGAATGATTTAATAATTACAACACGCTTCATGAGGAGTGTTGGAAAACTTTACAGATTCCAATTTACTGGGCTGTTTCTCTATTGCCAAACCAGTGTCCAATTGTGTGGATAACAACAACTAACAGTGGGCATCGGAAAAATTACACCCCACAAAAAGACAAAATTACACCCAGCTGCCTCTTATGACATGCCTCTTTCAGTTGTTCCTGTTCATGTCTTTGCCGGATATGTCACCTGCTCCATATGATCCGGTTGTTGTCGTGGTGACGTCTACGCTGCCACCGATCGACGTGATTAGCGCTGCGAGGCTGCTGTTCGGGCTCCCACCAGCTGCCATCCCCAATCCGAGGAAGTCCAGGGTGGTGTGCTTTGGAGCAAATATGGAATTGTTTCCCCTCATTAGTTCCTTCAATCCGGAGTTTCCGTCGCAAGGAAGTCCCAGCCCGAGCCCTGCAGCGATCGAGATGCCATCTGCTTCGACTTGCCTCTTATTCCATTGTAACCTCTCTTGCTGCGCAGCGGAAGAGGAAGATGGTACTAAGCCCAACCCACGAAGCAGCGAGGCGTTTGATGCTGCTGCTCCAATTTGAGC